ACCTACAATGTTTATAATAAAATTTTGATACTATCTCCGTTTAGGAAACGCTAACTAGTGTATACTTAACACAAGGTTTTAAGTAATAGTATCATATATACACATCTTAACACATATTGAACCATATCTGATTCGCACATTGTCTATTATCAAACATATCTATCACGTATTTCGGACAATGACAAATACTTCACATACATATGTATATTTCATATTATAATCAATACTCGTATTAAAATCTTGTTCCTAAAAGGGACTATACATATGATACCTTATCGAATGAACACGTAGTTCTAAAATACATAATCCGTACTCCCGGATCTTAAATTTGCCTCATTACCTAATACATATTCCCAGATCTAAAACTAACCTCTTGATCTGATCCATACCCTTGGATCTATAACTAACCTCCTGCTCTAATCCATACTCTCGGATCTAAAACAATTTTATCTCTTTATCCTTTTATCTCATGGTCCAACCCACCTTTTATCACCTACTAACAACCTCATCTACTCATGTTCTACCCAACATATTTTTAGATACAAAATACGTATATAGTTTAACTCATTAAAACTTATATAATTCATCCATTCCATAATCATCTCAAATAAACAACAAAATATTATACACGTAGCACGTATTTCATAGCAAATACTTAATATTTATGTGTTAGAAGAAAGTGACCACACACTCACTTGATTAGAAGATGATCGGAGAGCACTACGGCTTGTAGAAGTAGAATTCTTCGGTAGATCTGGAAGATCTTCACAAAAATTGGCTTCTCGCGGGCAGAGCTTCGGCTCGGGAATCACACTTCTCGGGATCTTCGGGGCTTCGGGACTTGCTTCGGGGTTTGGGAATGATACCGGGGTTTCGAGATATTTCTTGCACAAAAATTGAGGTAAAACGGGAGAGAGAGAGAGAGAGAGAGAGAGAAGAGAAAATGAGTAAAGGAATCGGCTGCACTCGACTCCCTTTTATAGGGTCTGGATCCTCGATTTACGCTAGGCGTAACCTGGATAGGATCGCTGACTCCCCCCCTTTGGATAATATCGGATATTTTTAATTTAAATTAAATACCAAAATTATTAAATAAATTTCAAAAATTCATATCTTCCTCATACGAACTCTGTTTTTAATGTTCTTTATATCCCCGCGTAGGTGGAACTACGCTCTACAACTTTCGTTTAGACTCCGTTGGCTAATTTGACGTTATTTTTATTATTTATTTTTAGTAGGCCGGGATAGGAAAACTTCGTTATAATTTCATAATTTCTTCATCCGACGTCCGTTTTCGCCTATCTTTTTATCGTTTCACTACTATTAACGATATTTTTGATTCTCGTTTAGATTGATTTGGCTAAAAACCGCTCGATCTCAAATCGAGTATTCGGGCTGCATATTGCTAAGCTGAAACTTAGAAAAATCATAATTTCCTTTTACGAAGTCGGATTTGGACATTCTTTTTATGCACACTCACGGTTTAAGGAACTCTGCAATTTTCGTTTAGATTGTTAAGGCTAAATATCGCTCTAACGTAAATTCACTATTTACGTCGCGCTGTACCGTGTCGGTTCTGTCGCGAAACTTCGGCATGTCATAACTTCTTCGTTATAACTCAGATTTTGGTGTTCTTTATATGTACGGAATCCTTGTAACATATACTTCAACTTAGTTAAGATTATTCCTTCAAAAAAATCTTCCATTAAAAAGTCATTTTTGACGCTTAATGTCTCTAAATTGACTAGCCCGGATCTACGAGCGTTACAACTATGGCTCATATCATGAGAATGGAATCGACCTGGCCCCACTAAGCGAGTCGACTCAATCATAACTCATCCAACAAAAATCTTAAGATCAGGATAACCATCTTTCTCAAGTCGGGAGTTTCCCATTTCTCACGTTGTGAGATCTGTTCTGACCAACTTTCAACATTAAGCTCTTAATCCTTTATGACATACTTTGGGACTTTCCAGAGCACCTTCCTCGACCCTAACGACTATAAAAATTTTAGCTTTCCATTCATGCATCTAATCCATAAATTAGATACTAACTAGGTCAAAAGAAAGGTAATAAGATCAAGACTCATGCTTGGAGTCTAAAACCAACACCAAAACTCAGATCTAAAGCATCATATACAAAATATGTCTCAATAATCCATAAAGTTGTCAGCTTTATGGATCCCATGCATGCTATATAACCCAACCATGCAAAGAAAGCTCTCAAAACTTAGATCTAGCATGCAAGAGACAAAAAGGTAAGAGCTTTATGACTTAAAAAGGTCCAAAAGCTCAGCAAGACCAAGAGGTAGAAGCTATATTGCCAAAATAAAGCACCACAAGAGTCCTCTTCCACTTCAAAGCACCAAAACCCACCAAATAAGCTCTTCAAGGTCATAAACAATGGATAAAGATCTCAAGGAGGTCGAATTTGGCGGTTTTAGGAGGCTAGGGAGTGAGAGAGGTTGAGGATGGGCAACCCTAGCTCTCTCATTCAATTAAATTCTCGAAAATTAGGTTTTTATATCATCAGGCCTGACTCACGTCATGAGGTTCTAGAATGTGGGTCAATGGTCACTCATGTCATGACTGATATGGCTCACGACGTGACCTTCCTCCAAAATACAAGTAATCAATAAATTAAGTACCTCTAGGATTTAGATGCTATAGTAATATTGCAATGAATTTTAATACACCTCTAACACCACGTATGTGGCGTAATCATGACACTCATGCATAAAGCCATACTATATCCGAGTTTAACTACAACGAAGGTCTTTACAAAGTTGTCACAAGGTCACAGATGAATGACAAAAGAGGAAATATACATATTGCCTATTATTTTCAACAAACATGCACATACGGTAAATGTGAAATGGAAAGGTTTCCATGTTCACAAGCAACTGCAGTTTGCCGATATGGAAGGGATAGCCTTCTTTCCATTGTGAATGATGTGTACACTAGTATGACATACAAACAACAATATAACATTCGTTTTGTACCACTTCCTCATGATGTGTATTGGTTGGATTCAGATTAGGCATTTGAAGCAGATTACTCAAAATTGTTTGTTCGTTGAGGTCAGCAACCTGAAAATTGAATTTGTAACGAGATGGGCACCTGTTATCCTGATGACCCTCGAAAATGTGGATTTTACCATCAACCAGGTCATAATTAAAGAAATTGTTCAAATTCTCAACCACTATTCCATGTAACATAAACCATGTACTTTTTTTACTGATCTTGTTTATTTTAGCGATCTTGTAATTTCATGTTTAATTGATATTGTAATTTTTGAATTTAATTCTGAAAGTTGCAATTTCCGAATATTATTAACGTGATGTAAATTATGTGTTTATTTCTTGCATTACACAATTATAATAATATTAAATATTAAAAGTAATATATAAAGCTTAATAATGTATGTAAAACAAATAAGATTATATGTGAAATTTTAATAAATTTATAAAATAGAAATTAAAAATACCAATGATATATTTACAACATATTATATAAAATAAAGGGTTAAAAGTGTAACATTAAATGAATAATTTCTATAAATTTATTGATCATGTGAGAATTACTGGAAAAAAAATAGTTTAAAAGAAAATTTTATAAGTTATTATATAAGATAAGGGTGAAATCTGATCATTTATTAAATTTTTAAACATCCAAACAAAATATGTGGGGCTAAGAGCCCTATTTGTACAAAAGAATTTGAAATGGTCCCGTTTGGACAAAAGGTTTCCAAAACAGTATCATTTAAAAAAAAAAAAAAAAAAAAAAAAAAAAAAAAACTCTGATTTAGTGGCTTCATTACAAGTGACATCAATATTTACAATGATACTTTCCAATCAAATTCCTACGTAAGAAAAATGACAATTAAAATAAAAAATTCATTGACAGAAAAGAAATGGGTTTTGTATGTGAGATGTATTCTCAGTCGTTATTAATCATCTCAAGAGGAACACACATCAATCTCTCCGGCTTAACATTTTTTTGGAGTTGAACGGTTAATTATCAATGTTTTAAAACCCGGGTCGACCCGGTCGGTTCAACCGGTCGGACCGTGACCCGGGATAAAAGGCGGGTCAATTGAGACCGATTTTTTGTAAAAATACGAACCGTATCGAACCGGCCGGGTTTCCCCTAAACCGCGGTTCAACCGCTTATATCGAACAGGTTAAAACCGGATTGACCCATTTTAATAGGTTTGGATAGTTGGATAGAAGTAGCGAACGCCAAAATAACGAGTCGTTTGCGGTTTCTTCAATGTTTTTCAATATTTTTAAATATTTAAACTTTGTGGACATCAAATTATTGGTTTTATATGTTTATGCATTATGCATGAAAGTAAAAATATATAAAAATAGAAAAAAACCATAAACCGGGTTGACCCGGCGGTTCAACCAGTTAACCCGTGAACCGGTCATCATACCGGATCAACCAAAAACCTGGGTTTTAAAACATTGTTAATTATTGATTGGTGATTAGGAATTCGATATTATTTCTTTATTTGTAAACAGCAGGTCAATAAGGATTTCATGCATGTCTCTAAAATGCTAAAAGATAACCTCAATGACTTTTTAAATCAAAATACACTTGTAAGACCTATCAAATACTAGGTTCAATGGAGTTCTTGATTGTTATTCTAGAAACGAATTTTTTAAGTTATATATCATCAGATTATTGATAGAAAAATATAAGTTGATTATGATTATCATAAAATAAAATAAAAAAGTAAAATGCATTCTCTTTTCGTAAAATTTATTAACTCCATTATTCATGACATAATTTGTCCTTGTATAGAAAGCTTACAACTCTCACAAGAACTTAACTGATGAAATAAAACTCGTAACATCTTTCAGTTCTTTTGGAAATTAGTTTAGATGTCTTTGTGGGTTCCCTATATATTTCAAAATGCAATTTTGATCAACTCCTCCAAGTCTCCGACATGGTGCGGTGGTCAGCGATGTAAAAAGGAAGTACACCTCCTTAAGATCAAGGTGGAGAAGGAGGTTTAGAGTGTATGCAATGTCTCAGAAGCTTGATAATATCCCCATTGGAGTCATCTGGAAGTGGCTTGATGGAGAAGTAAGTTTGCAGAAAACTAGTGAACAGAATAGCAGTAGCCACCAACAAAGCCACCGTCTTCCATGGACTACTAAAGTAGACGTTAATCAGCTCCGCCGCCCACGTCTTATACTTGTTAGTACAATGCTTCTCAATACCTCTCCGGAGCTGGTAAAACATGTAAAGATTCACCGCCGGCGCCTCAATCTCATCGTACATCTTCACCACTTCTTCATCTCTACCAAGACTATGAATCAATATGTTGTTGTTTCGTAACTCCTTCACGTCATCATGATGAATAACCAGAGATTTCATTATTCTAATGTAAGTCGAAACTCGAAAGTCGTTAGGATTATGAGGGCACATCTCGTAAGCGATCATGTTCAAGTAAATAGATTTTGAATTCGAGGACACTGCTCTGCGCACAAGCTCAAGATCACCATAACAACAACGTGAATGAAACTTGATGTCTTCATTAGAAGACTCATCGTAACTGCATTTCACAAATATCCCTTTAGCTTTCAATTCCGTAACTGATGCAAAGGATCGATTTCGCTTCACATAATTCCAATCTTCATCGGCATCAACGTCGATCTTTTTTCTCCATCTTTGCCACATGCCCGAATTAACCGAATGACCAAAAGAGGAAAGCGAGATGAAATAGGACCTATAAAGCTCGAGAAGATGAAGTGGTTGCTTATTTTCAAGCACCTTTTCTTCCCTTGTGGTGATTTCGCCATAGTTCAAGTAGTTAAAGAACCCATTTAAGATCTTTTCGCTTCTATCAACCGGGAATCGCAAATCCAACAACACTTTGAGAACTTCAAACGGGATTTGATTCTCGAGCAACAAAACATCACGAGATACATGCGCGAAGCCTAGTGCTCCTAAATACTCATTATTTAGCATCGACTTCTTGTTTCGGCAAGCAACACACTCTATAAAGAACAAAACGAAGCAACCATCACGCAACATCATTCGAGTAAACTCCTCATCGTTGTATTCATCTGTAGAACCATCGATATAGCACTTTCTAGCATTGTGTACAACCTTGAACACCTTGTTGTATAACGAATCCGTGGTTTTTTTGCAGCTCAAACGATACTCCTCGAGGGTTATGAGCTTGTATTTCTCGGCTGCAGCGAGGTCGTCTCGTTTATGGTGGTAAGGACCAAGCGAAACCACCGCCGGCGCGTAATATTGGCGGTTTCTTCCACCTTTTTCGCCTTTTAAGAGCAGTGGAGGTACTTTCTCCATTTGTCGTTTGCGTTCTGGACGTTGGGTGGTTTCGTTATTTTGAATGCAAACTTCCCACTCCTGGACAATGTCGTCGTTAACTTTGTTGGCCGGTTGTGGTTTATCGCCACGTATTTCAATTTTTACATCTTCACTTTCAGACATCTCCGTCTCCATAGTTTTTGAAAGCGTCTTTCTGTTTCTGAGATGGAATTGAAAGTAAAAGTTTATGGTATATAAACGATAACTATTTTTTTTCAACAGTATGCTTTTTTCTTTACAAAGAATATTTCTTTTTCAACAAAGTAGATACTTAATTGTTAATTAAATAAAAATCAACATTATATCAGCCATAGTAAAAATAAATAAATAAGTTCTGATTTAGGGTATATAATTCATTATTTGATTATAAAATTATAATCTAAGCTTTAGACTTTGATTTTTAAATTAGACTTTATAATAAACTTGACTAAAATTATAATTTTTCTATTGAGATAGGTGATAAAAAGTGCTGATTTTGTCGTTATATATTCTAAGTAGACACGTTTAACAAACTTTCTTTAAATAACCATACAAACACCTTAATGATGACTTTGTCGTTATATGTTCTGCATATATGAAATCAGAATTTAATTATTTATATATACCATAATTTTTGTAGCTATATTTCGTTTTATTCAATTAAGTTCCAATAAACGG